CTAACTTTCTAAAAGTTTAATTGTATAAGATAGTCACACTTTGTCACTATAGTTGTTGCTTTTTATAGTATTGTCACTAGTTTCTACTTAATATTAATTACCAATTTATTTAAATTCTCATTAATGCTATATTAGTCCATTGAGATTGAGGTATAATTAACCATATAATGAAAGTGTACAGGTGTCATGTAATGCCTCACATTTCATAAGGTTTTATCATATTAAGGTTTTAGAAAGTACTGGCCCTTAAAATTGACGAGAGCCAGGTGTGGTGGCACACACCTATAATCCCAGCAATAGGGAGGCTGAGGCAGGAGAATCACTGCAAGTTTGAGGCCAACATGGGCTATCAATGTGAGCTCAAGGCCAGCCTGAGCTGTACAGTGAAATTCTATCTCAAAAAAAAAAAAAAAGACTGATGAGAATAATAATGATTCAGAGCCTTACACGTATGGTCTGATTATTGGAGCACACAGTGACTGAGTTAATGTTTAACAGTGGCTATCTTGCTGATTTGTTTAGGAAATTGGGAGATGGGAATTTCTTTTTACTGGACTGATGTTATGGCACAATTAATTAGGACCTGTTTAAAAATAGCCTTCATAGTAAGGCCATGAAAGGGTAAGCATTTCAAATAATGGAAATGTAGAAAATTTATTGTCAGGGCTGCATTAGCTACTTTTACCCAGGTCACTTGAATAGATTTTGCTCTCAGAGAAGAATACTACTACTAAGAAACAACTCATTTTCCTGCTTATACTCTGGAGTTTCAAAGTGAGTAGGAACAATTATGGAGCTGACCTTGTATGGTAAGTTCAAATACAATTCAGTTTTTCACATTTTTCTTCTTTTTAAATGTGTTATTTGGGATTGAACCCAGGGCCTTGTAGTACTAGGCATGTGCTATACTCCTGAGCTGTATCTTCAAAATAACACTTAAAAAAAAAGTTGGGGTCTGACTAGTTTCTAGGCTGGCCTTGAATTCCTGGGCTTGTGATCTCTTGCCTAAGCCTCCTGATTAGCTGGAAGTATAGGTGCATTCTGAATCTGGGCTCACATTTTCCTTTAATTATAATATATGCACAGAATGGGAGACATATATGTGTACACTTTAAAGAATAATTATAAAACTACTATTATACAGATTACCATTCAGTGCAGTTGCTTAGTTCACAGGTATCCATATATATAGTTAGGGTGAGAATCTTTCCAATTAACTGCTAGATTCAAAAATCTTCTGGAGATTCTCAGGATCATTGCCTTGCCCATCTTCTACTTATAACTGTATGGCTTGCCCCTGTCATGTTTCCTAGCTCTTCTCCTTTCCCTCTCTTGGTTAGTTAGTCCTTGAGATCCTGCTTTCCTTTTACTTGTATTATACTTTTCTATTTACCTTGGTCTTAACCATCCAGCAGAAAAGTATAAAAATGAAGTATAAGAAGTAAAGTCATGCTGTTATGTTGAGGTGTAGGGGACTCAGGTCAACAATTTCTGACATTGCCAGTTAAGCGGAAGACCCAATACTCTTATGGGATACTGGACTCTTTTAGAATCTTTTGCTGAGTTTACACACCTATAATATTCAAATAACGGAACTTAACAAAAGAAGGGGATACAGATGAATGTCCATTTTGTATCTGTGTATTCAAAATGGTTAGGATAGATATGTAGTTACATTCTCTTAATGAATAGAGTGACTTGTTCTAATGGTGTTTGTAAATAGGATATCATGTCCACATCTTGAACAGCAATTAACCACTAGGAAGAATGTATGCAATGTGTTAATTATTGAAACTGTCCTACCAATTTGGTTTGAAACTGTCTCATTGCTATTTGTTTCTCAATAAAATTATGGAAAAACCCCCAACAAAACAAAACAAAACAAACAAACAAACAAACAAAAGGAATAATTATAAAATGGTCACTGAGGTGGTCACTGCCCAGATCACAAGAAGTGATCAGCATTGTGAAAGCCCCCACCTCTGCTGCACACGTCTCCCAGAGTGACTTCCTCTAGGTAGCTCTTGTCTTTACATTTGGCACTTTCTTCCTCCTCTTTATAATGTAAGCATTTGTATCTGAAAGTGGTATAATTTAAGTGTGTCTATTTTTGAAGTTATAGGAATAGATTTGAAATGTTATGTGCTCTTTGTGTCTGTGGTCTTTTATTCAGCATTATGTTTGTGAGATTTTTTTCCATGTTATTGCTATCCAGTGCATATTATACAGCCCCTTCTCTAGTATCCCCCACCTTTTGTTACTTTGAACCCCTGAAACTCAAAATGCTTTAGGACATTCCCACTTTGCCTTTTCAGACTTTCTGCTAAATGAGTTCTGAAGAGCAAAACTTGTCTGAAACCCAGTTTTCTGAGCTGTCTTTCGTTTGGTTACATTTGTTTAGATGAGACTACATCTTTAAGGCGTCTGTGCTTGGTTAAAAATCTTCCTTTTTCCAAGGCTGGTCCAAGGGTCTGGTCACGTGATCCCAATAGTGACATCACACTCTGACCGCCGGGAGCACTAGTGACTCTTTAGGTGGCGTTGTTGCTGTGAAAAGCAGACAACGCAGCAAGTGCCCTTCTAAAGTGCCCCAGAGCGGAGCTCCTTCTGTTCAAGCGCCTCAACCTACATGACCAAATGTGGGCTGTCAAGGTTATTTCTTCTTTGAGACAGAAAAAAAGGAAACTGTGATTGAAGGTAAGCAGGCTTGAGCCTTACCCAAGACTGAAACGTGCCCCTGGGAGGAGGAGATCTGGAGAATCGCAAGCAGTCTGTAGTAGGATTGTAATCACTGCCTGCCCTTTGCAAGAGCCTGACAATTGCGTCTCTAACAGCTCTAACAGGAGACCGATGACAAAGGAGGATGATGCAGTGCTCATGTTACTTAGTGATGTAATAGGATTCTTTCTTTCTTGCCAGGGCGCCCTTGCAGAGCCTCATTTTGCCTTAAGATCCTCAAAGCTGGGGGCCTCATTTGATACTTAGGGTAACATTAGGTAGCTATTAGATGCTTTTTAAAATGTGCTTCACAAAATTCTTTTTTTTTTCTTCCTGAAAGGACAACTTTTAAACCAGAGTAAATTCAAAGAAAGCATTAACCTACCTTTAAAAAAAGGTCAATTTCTGGTGTCCCAGTGTTCATCTCAGCGCTGTACTTGAGAATTGAAATAGGCTGGCCCCCACCCCCAAAATTTGTTCTTTCTCTTTTTGCCCTTCTATGTTAACTGGAATTCTCCCTCCAAGCTCTCACCATGCCAGATTTTATCTTTTATCAGTGTGACACTGACGTGATAGGAAATGCTGGGTCGGTGATTCAGCAGCCATCCATTTTATAGCCAGGTGCAAGTGAAGATATAGAAAGGACTTTGGTTTGGGGTTTTAAGATTAACTTGTTCGCCTCTTGCATGCCATCTCCCTGTCTCACCCCCACTCTCCAGATGATTTGGACTCTGCTGAGGTTTTCCTGTCAAATGTGTATGTTGCTTATAAAAAGTATGCTGAGTTAGGTATTTGGAAGACTTACAATTGGCAAGCCACGTATGGTCATTCAAACTTACCCCATGGAAGTGCTGAAGTTGTCTGCTAGGACTTTGTTTCTTTTTTTTTCTTTGGTCTTTTTTAGTTAGGTTTATTATTATTTTGTTTTTGAGATAGAGTTAGTTTTGCTGTGCAATTCAGGCTGGCCTGGACTCATTCATAGCTGAGGCTGGCCTCAAACTCAAGGTGGTGCTCCTGCCTTAGCCTCGACAGTGCTGGGATTACAAGTGTGTACCTCTATGCGCAGCTGGTCAGAATTTCTAGTACAGGTGGGCTTGCAGATGCAGGAGAGCAAGTCAGTCGAGGACCACTTCAGCCTATTCTGCAGAGGAGTTCATTATCTGCTTGAGGCCTTGTCCCTGCGGAAGCTGGTGCTAAAAATGTGAGCTTTGGATGAATTGAATGATAGCAGTACTCTGCACCCCCTGTGTATTTCATAAATTCTTTAATACTGATGTATATTCTATGTTGAATAGCAATATTGTCTTATCAGATGATGTGGCCCAAATATTTTGGATGAATTTGTTAAGATTGCTTAACAGTCACTAACCACATCTGACTACAACTGCTTGGTTTAACTACTTCCCCCTTGTTACTGCTGTACGTCATCACAGTTTGCTTCAGCTGGTATTTATTGAGTATCAGGTATGTATTAAGACACTGTGGAGAAGACAATGATGAATCAGATATAGAACTACCAGAAAAGAGCTTCTTAGTCTAGAAAGGAAGGTAAGCCATGTTGTAAGTAATTGCAAAGGAAGTGCTAAAAATCAAGCAGATAAAGGATCATGGTAGGTGTGCAAATGGATATGTGAATGATCAGAGAAGGACAGATCACTGAGCTGTGGACTGTACTCTAAATCTACATGTAAATTGCAGACTGTTTGACATACGTGGAGAATTTCTACCAGCCCATTATATCAGGAATCAAAGTATTCCACCTATTAAAGGGAAATTTGTACATTCTAGGCAGCTTAAATGGAAGAGACCAAGATGCTTCCTTTGGAGTTCCTAGTCAGAAAAAACCCACTGCCTAGGATTGGATTACCGCCCTATCAGTGTAAAATGATTTCTGATGTGATATGCCTGAACTAACCTTTGACCCTTACGTCTCCCTCCCATAAACCATTACCTTAGTTACGCCAAGCTCCTTTCTGTCTCTTGTTCCATAAACTGTTTCATTTTGCACATCGGCTTGCTTCAGTTCTCTTTGTAGTATCACTTTGTCCCTTTTCATTCTCATTGCCTTTAGCTACTCATTAGCTACTCATTTGTTTGAGGTCCAACCGCAGAAACCTCTAAATGTGATGGATATCTGTACTGGGTGATTATATATTTTATTAGTACATCCTAACTGTAGTCATCTGATAATTTATGGGCTTACCTGTTAGAATTTAGAAAGAATATAGTATTAAAATTGTCGAGTGTCAGAAGTACTAATGTCTATTTCCTGTTTAATACAGGGAACAAGTTCTATAATAGTGGAGGAATAGCTTCTTCAAATAGGATCATGGACTTCTTGGAGGAGCCGATTCCTGGCGTAGGGACCTATGATGATTTCAACACCATTGATTGGGTGAGAGAGAAGTCTCGAGACCGGGACAGGCACCGTGAGGTAAGACAAAAAATGGCACAGATGGAAATATTAGGAAACACTGTGGAAGAAGTTATTCGTTCCTCTCTTGAACTGTGAATGTGGCTGAATCTGGTTTATATTGGGAAATATAAGATTTCATTTTAAAAGTTATTTTTAGACATCTTGTATCTGATTTTTATTGAATATCTAAAACATTATACATCATGATTTATCTTCCCAGAGTATGTGATTGAAAAAGATTCTTACACCCAGAGAATGAATATAAATTCCTCCATGCAGGTGAAAACAATCTGGGGGGTGGTGGTGACAAAATACATGTCAAAGATCTTCCTCATCTCATCTCCATTTTACAGTTTTCTTGGAGGGGGATTTTTTAAAACTAAGAAAAGTAAATGGGTTCTTTTTAAAAGAATAAAAGAAAAAAATTCTCACAGCCCTAGTATTTACTGAAGCATACAAGATAAGCTCTTTATGGTTCTCTCTCTTCTTATACATAAGTCCAACTAAATTTATTCATTCAACTCCAATAAAACTGTAACACCAACCAATCCAGATTAAAAGACAGTAATATGATAGATGCTACTTAGATGGTAATAGATGGTACCTGTGCTTTGATACAGGTTCTTTTGAATTTAGTAAGAGAATTTCCCCCGTTGGCTCTTTTTAAAGTGCCTTGCAAACTTCTCAGAGTGGTCTGCCAAGGTTATGTTTTGAAATTGTTGCCTTGTACCATTTACCTTAGGGACTTATAATTTCTAGTTCTTTTAAGGGCCATAATGGAAAACTTACTAAGACGGCAGGTGCCTAGCCCCAGCCAGCCCAGAGATTCTCAGTAGGTAATCCTCTAGCAAGTCTTTTCTTTAGGCCACAGGAGCAGTAGTACTTTTGTTCTTTCTTAATATTTCTGCTTGCACTCCAAATTTAAAATTTGATTGTTAAACTGACTCCATTCTCTCCATAGTTCATGATTTCTTTCTCTCAAAGCCAAGCAAATTTCCTGAGCATTTCCTTTTTTTTCTGTATTTTTTTTCTTTTAGGGAAGGGTGTGTGCAGGGTGTTCAGGGTCTCACTACTAGATCAGACTAGTAGTGATTCTCCTGTTTGCAGCCTCCCAAGTGCTGGGATTACAGGTGGGCCCCACCATGCCCAGTCTCAATTGCAGTCTAGTGTGCCCCAGGGGTGAGGCCAGCAGGACAGGCCCAGGGATGAAACCCGGCCCCTGTGCTTGCTTGCAGGCATTTTAATCTGCTGAGCTATTTGGCCAGCCCTGAGCATTTCCTGAAATTTATTTTTCTTGTTCTTTTTTGTTTTTTTAAATTTGGGGTCTGGAGATGGAACTCAGGCCCTCATACATGCTAAATAAGCGCTCTACTACTGAGCTACACCCCCAGCCCTTGCTTTTCATTATTAAGCCTTTCCCAGCTCCTGATTGGTTTTAACAAAAGCACCTGAACTCAATTTCCAGTTTTAAGAAAATGTATAAAAGGTAAAAATTTGTAGTTCAACAACAGAGGTGGGGCCAAGGATATAGTGGAGTGACAAAAGCACCTGAACTCAAGAGTCAGGTTGTCCTGGGTTTAGATTTTGAGAAATTTGTACTTAATCCTCAGAACTGAAGTAATTGCACTGAGTTGACATATCACTACACAAAAGGATGTTCTCTCTGTAAGACATTTTATGTTTTTAATAAGATTTCTGTAATATACTTTATCAAGAGGCAGGATTTAGAATTAAGACTCTTCTGGCTTTAGAATTTCTGTTTTCAGAGTTCAATTTGTCATTATTCAAATTATGAGAGTCACCTGTGATATGACAGGGTGCATTTCTCATTAATGGTTGCATCTGACATAAATGATCCCTATTAGTAATCCCAAACCAATTCAGGTGTGTTTATTATATGGTCCACAGAGACTATTTTTAGTGTCAGTTCATTATCAGAAAAGATATAATGTCACAGGGAAAAATGTAATCTCATCTGTTTTCAGCACTGAAATTGGAAACATACTCATGGGTCAGAATGCACTTTAAAACTCCTTTTAAATTCTTTATAATTTACTATGTATTTATGATGTTGTAGAGCGGGATGGGTAGCTACAACTGTTATCAAGGGTAAATAGTGGTACTGAGAAGGGTACAGCTACACAGCTGTTAGAATGTTGGTGTTAAAAATGTGGATACTGAAGGGTTAAATTGACAAGGGTCAGTCCTAAAAGATAAAATGTTCTGTATCTCTGCGAAGGCTCAGATCCTGCCTTGCTGATTTAAGAAATGAAACAAAAGCATTGTTGATACCACTTAGTATCAATTAGGGGATGGTGGGTTCACGTTTTGGGATTTTTCTGACTTGAACCATAACCATAGAAAGTAAATCTGAAATTGTAATTTCATGACTCAAATAAACTTGTGTGTGTTTGGTCATTGCAAAATAATTAGAGTATTTCCTATGGTTCAAGTGACTGTCCTTGGGACAGAAATCGACACCTAAAATGAATGAAACAGGTTGACAGCTATAAGAAGTTAGCACCTAGATAAGGAAACCCTAAATAAGGTCCTTGGGAGCATTACAAACTGTGGATAAGGCATGTCCAACCCACAGCTGCGGTTCACTTACCCTCTTTTCTTTAATGTTATAATAACAGATACAAAAAAGTTTTATAATGTATTTATATTAACCATATTATGTATTCTATACATGTCCCAAGACAACTTCTGCCCTCACTGTGACCCAAGTTGGCCAGGTATGGGTTGTACATGCCTGCTGTATGTGAAAGTACAATTCAGCAAGAATCCAAGCTTTTAGGGCCAACCAAATAGCTCAATGGATTAAAGCACCTGTAAGCAGGCGCAGGGGCTGGGGGTTCTGATCCCCAGGCCTGCCATGCCAGCCCTCCCCCCAGGGCACACTGAGAGAGACTGCAATTGAGACTGGGCGTGGTGGCGCATGTCTGTAATCCCAGTTCTTGGAAGGCTATAAACAGGCGTGTCACTACGAGTCTGATCTAGTAGTGAGACCCTGAACACCCTGTAGACCCTTCCCTAAAATACAAAAAAAAAAAAAGACTCCAAACTTTTGCTGAACTTTTTTGGCAGGGGATACCAGGATTCGAACTTAGGACCTTGCACCTGCCAGGCAGACACTTAATGTCCCTGGCACTCTTGCTGAATTTGGTTGAGGTAAAGATTGTGTAAGAAGTAACTTTCAATTGGTTTCTGTTCCCAGGTGATTTGTCATTGTATTTGTTTACTGAATAATGCTGATATAAGGAAGGGTATATGGAGAGTTACTGATGGTTTCTGTTTTTTTTTTTTTTCATTTTCCCCTAGATTACTAATAAAAGCAAAGAGTCGACATGGGCCTTAATTCACAGTGTGAGCGATGCTTTTTCTGGCTGGTTGTTGATGCTTCTTATTGGGCTTTTATCAGGTATGCTACACCGTGTTTTCACAACAAGCCTCCAGAAATTGTGTCATATACCTCCCTTAAGTTATGAACTAGTTGGAGCACTGGTTTCCCACCAGAAATTAATTGCTGGTGACCATTTTAGATTTGGAATGTCCTATCTGAAGAGAAGTAGTAACACCTGCAAATCACCTTTCTCAAGTAGGTGCTCTAAGGTATGGTATCCATTGTAAGGTACTTCAGCCATGCATCACAGTGCTTGTCTTTAGGAAGAACCTTCCTTTAGGAGACAGTCAAGTTTTTTATATACATTCTAAATGGGATCTAGAAGAGACACAGAAGAACACTTCCTGAGATATTTGGTGGCTGTTTCTTAGCCTTATGTCTATTCTTTTATTTGATGGTATAGAAAGGCGGGTAAGTTATGTCCATGCTCATGAGGAATTTACCATTTTGTTCTTCCATGATGGCTGGTTGTGGCATGGTATCACCTATTTCCTTAATCTCCTTTACTATTTTAAATTTCTTCCTCTAAATGCTTGGGATCAGAGTTGTTTCAGATCTTAGATTTTAAAAATTTTGGAATATTTTCATATATATATATATATATATCCAAATGTACCAGGTAGAGATACCAAGAGACTTGTCTCTATGACATCTATGACATTAAGAGATGGTTCTTAGATCTGGAATCTTGAGCTCAAATAGGAGCTAAGTGGGAAAGCTGGAGGACAAGCATAATATGACAGTTATTGGCACAGTCTCTAGTTTCAGGCAGTTGAGATTTATTTATTTTTGTATTTTAAAGAGAAAAAACCAAGAAGAACAAAGACAAAAGCAATATAAAATGATAAAAATGGTATAGAATTTCAAAACAAGAATAGAAAATTAGCAGTAGTTGTTACATTTTATATTGTTATCGGGCAGCTGAGATTTATTATTATTATTATTATTATTATTATTATTTTTTTTTTTGTGGAACCGGAGATTGAACTCAGGTTCTTGTGCTTATCAGGGAAGCGCTTATTCCACTGAGCCATCTCCCCGGCCCCAGGCAGCTGAGATTTAATTCCTAGTGCTACTACTTGCCAGTTTTGTGGCTTTGGTGGCACTACTTAAGCCCTGGAAGCTTTAATTTACTGAGATGTAAATGAAGATAATAAAAGTATCTATGTCAAAAGTTTTCTATGAGGATACAATGGATTCAATGCAGTATGGCATTTGGCGCCCAGTTACTAATGCTGCTGCTGGCCTGGGGATAGTCAGTGAGCCATGATGTAGCAACTAAGGGATGGTTTATCTATAGCTGAGTTTTCAGAAATTGCCTAGGGCAGTGATAACAAACCTTTTAGAGTTTTCAGTGATAACAGGATGGAACACATACCATAGTTTCCACTGGGCTAGGGTAAAGGTTGGAAAAATCTTTTTCGTAAGGGGGCTAGATAGTAAATATTTTAGGATTTATGGACCACGTAGTCTCTCTAGCACCTACTTCCTTCTGCTGATGGGGCACAAAAGCAGCTGTAGCCCTTAGGTAAACCAAGGAGCCTGGCTGCCACCAGGACATCATTATTTACAAGTACAGGTGTAGGCAGGGTTTAGCCTTTGGTTTTTAATTCTGTCCCATCTGGCTCTTACAGGAGAGAGGAGATGGTCAATTTGGAGCTGGCTGATAATAGACTGAGTAGTCTTTAATGCCAGGTATTACAGAGAAGCTGAGGAGAAGGAAGATGGTAAAGAAGAGTTTATATAGTCTACCAGTTAGGAATCTATCAGTGACTTAGAGAAATCATCTCAGAGAAATATTAAGAGCTGGATATCAAAGAAAGGCAGTTAGTGTTGAAGTTCTGGTAGTTATTGGAAAAGGGAAGAGGGGCAAAACTTGAAATGGTGACAAGGACAAGGGACAGCATTTTATATTTGGGGGCAGAGGAATTCTGGTCACCAGAGAAGAGCCAACTGGGAGATAGAGGCAGAAGGGAAGATAGGAGTGAGGGTAGCAGTATTGGATAAAATAAAAAATGCACACATGAGGCAACCAGAGAATGAGCCAAACTATTTAATAGCATGTTAAGTTTCTGAGTCTAGGTAGTAAGTACAGTATGAGTTAGAAGAAGAGAAGGCTGAGGGGCTGTAGTTTTTGAAAGTAAGTGTCAAGCAATGTGTTAGATTTGCCAAGGTTATTCCAAAATGTAAGTAGCCCATGTTAACACTTTTAGCACATACTAAAGCATACACATGACATTGCCATCTCCTGCTGGAATGTAGGCATGGCTTCCTTGGCTTTTTCGTGTATCTCTTGTCACTAGGTGGTCAACGAATGCTTTTATTTCCCTCAATAGAAGCGCTGTGTCTGCGTGCAGGAGCAGTCAGAGAATTCAAGGTCTAGGGGATTAATGATGTATTTGGTATTTCCCCAAGCCAAGGTTCATTTCTTCACCTCAATGACAGAAATGATGAGAAGGCCAGAATGTAAAATACTAAAACTATCTTAACCCTACCAGTGTACTAGCCTTAGTGTACATGTCCCTGGTTCACTGTTTATTCTTTCTTCGTTTTCTTTGATGAATGTTCTTTGGATAATACCATTTGTTCCTTCTCACTAAGAAGAATAAAGAACATTCTTGTTCTAGGTTCAAGAGGCTTCAACATGTGTAGAGATTTTTTAGCTTTCCATGCACTTTAGTTTTTGCTTTTGTTTTCAGTTTTTATTAATGTAATTTTGTTAGTACATGTTTGTAATACACAATGATGACATTCATCATGGGAAATTTGTACATGTACGTACTATGCCGTCTTTTTTGTCCCCTTTCCCTTTCATCTCTCCCTTCTCCCTCCAACTTTTGATCCCCTTCCTGTTTGAAAAAGAACTAGTTCCATTTTTTTCTTGAGTTATCTTTTTTAGAATCTGTTTTCTCTTCCTTCCTTCCCTACTCCATCTCTTGTCCTCTTTCCCATTTGAAAAAGATCTCCCTACTTTCTATTATCTATCCATTTATTCTTTTATAGTCACACTCCCCTTAGCCTAGAATACCTTCCTGCCATGGTTCAAAGGCCCTTGTTCATGGAGAAAACTTCTTCTGTCTATGCTTAGACTAGCTCATAATGTTCATCAGCTCTCCTGAGCGATCTAAAATAAACAGCAGAGAGTTCCCAGGTATGGGCAAATCATGTTTTCTCTACTTTGTATATACAAGGAGAAGATGATCTCAAATAAGCTTTACTATCTTTGTGGATCAGTATTCATAAACTGTCTGAGTTAAAACAGTATCTTTGCCATGTAAATTCAGTTTAAAAACATATTTCCTAGTCCCTCACTCCCAACCTATTTATTTTTATTTTGCTTTTTGAGATACGGATCACCACACAGTTCAGGCTGTGAAGCCCAGGTTGGATTCAAACAGTGTTCCTCCTGCCTCAGCCTCCCCCGCACTGGTGTAGCACACATGTGTCACCACACCCAGCTCCACCTAATCATTTTGTTTTCATCCAAGTCTCTCCTATATATAAATTCTGTAGATAGCAATGTTCAATAGAGAGATAGCAAATATAAATCAAGTAAAGAGATAAAGTGGCAGGTGGAATGGAAACATGTTTGTTCTTTTATTAAATTCCTATTTTCATTTTTGCTGGTAAAGATTATTCTGATTATCATAAAGAACAGTTTTGGGGCCGGGGAGATGGCTCAGTGGAATAAGTGCTTCCCTGGCAAGCACAAGGGTCTGAGTTCAATCCCCGGTTCTGCAAAAAAAAAAAAAAAAAAAACCTGAAAGAATAAATAAAATCCAAAAGGTCTAATAGATACTGCAAAAGGAAAGAAACTATTCAAACAGAAGGACCAACTGGGATGAAGAAAAGGAAAAAATGGGGCCGGGGAGGCGGCTCAGTGGAATAAGAGCTTCCCTGGCAAGCACAAGGGTCTGAGTTCAATCCCCGGTTCTGCCCAAAAAAAAAAAAAAAAAAAAAGCGGTGTCTTTTTTTTTTTTTTTTTTTTTTTAAAAAAAAAAAAAAAAAAAAAAAAGAACAGTTTTAAAAGTAGAATTTAACTTTGGCCTCCTTTTCCCCCAATCAGGTTCCTTGGCTGGTCTGATAGACATCTCTGCACATTGGATGACGGACTTAAAAGAAGGTATATGCACAGAGGGATTCTGGTTCAACCATGAACACTGTTGCTGGAACTCTCAGCAGGTCACGTTTGAAGACAGAGACAAGTGCCCAGAGTGGAATAGTTGGTCCCAGCTTATCATGAGCATGGAGGAGGTAATATGTAATAGTGATTTGTGAAACACTGAATTTTATTCTTACGTTTGTTTCATGCCTTATAAAACATTCATGACAATTGTGGAGTCTTTCCCTACTTTCTTTTTCACAAAAAGGGGAACCCATGCCAGCTGCCTTTTTCTGTGGTTTGTTTAGTTGTATTTCCTTCTTTTCTGATTTGTGGAGTCTTTGTTGCTTATCTTTAAAATTTCAGTTTGTTTCAAATAAGCCTGGTGGTTCTTCTTAGTTGTGTATAGAATGTTACTGGATTTATCTTTCCTTAATAATTTCAATAGGAATGTCAGAGGTAGCTGACAGGTAAGCTGTAATTTCTAACAAAGGATGGAGTGGGTGAAAAGTGTTTATCATATAGATACCAAAAGTGATTTGTTCCTGATCATTCATTGCAGTAGAATCTTTTCTAAATTACCATAAATTGTCAACAAAACAAACTCAGGAAAAAAATTGTCCACAATCCCATCTTGAAGTCAAATTATATTTTTATTTTCATCTAGCATCATTGTTGATGCAAATGTAGATGTTTTTCAGTTCTTTTCCTTCCTATTACTACTTTATTTTATATGAGAACTTTCCCACTGAAAAAAAGTATACAGAACACAAAACTCCCAATTCCACTGTGCTTCCACACACAGAAAGGAGTGGCATTTTAGTGCCTGTCTCATCGACTGTGTTGGTGAAGTGAGCGAGACCAGACCAGGATATGGATTTGGACTCTTTATTTAATATATATATATATATTAAATATATATATTACAAATATTATTATATGTAATATATTATTCATAATATATTACATATATTATGAATATTATATATTCACCAACACAGTCGATGAGACAGGCACTAAAATGCCACTCCTTTCTGTGTGTGGAAGCACAGTGGAATTGGGAGAGTTTTGTATTCTGTATACTTTTTTTCAGTGGGAAAGTTCTCATATAAAATAAAGTAGTAATAGGAAGGAAAAGAACTGAAAAACATCTACTTTTGCATCAATATATATATATATAATTTGTGCCATGCTGGCCTTGAAGTTGCAATGATCTTCCTGCCTCACCTCAGCCTCCCAAGTGCTGGGAATACAGGCATGCACCACCTCATCTTGCTGGACTCTATTTTTTAAAGCTGATCACATAGAAATAGCAAGTAGAATATTGGTCATTAGAAGCTGGGAAGTGTAGGTGGAAAAGAGGAAAGAAAGAGGTTGAATAACAGGTTTCAAATATAGTTAGAAATGAAGAATAAGTTACAGTGTTCTACAGCACAGGAAGGTAACTTATCAACCTTTTTCTTATGTCTTTTTGAGACAGAGTTTCGCTATGCACTTCAGACTGGCCTTGAGCTCACTTTGTAGCTCAGGCTGATCTCAAACTCCCAATGATCCTCCTGCCTCAGACTCCCAAGTGGTGGGATTACAGGCATGTACCACTATCCTGGGCTTTCAACTTCTTGTGTATCTATAAAAAACCAGAAGAGAGGCATTTGAGGGTTCCAAACAAAAAGATGATAAATATTAAAGAGATAGATGTGCTATTTAGCTTGATTTAATCATAGCTTATGGTGTATGCATAAAATTATCACACTGTACCTCATAAAAATATAATTATTGTGTGCAAATTGAAAATAAACTAAAAATTGTCATTACCCACCATAGTTCCCGAACAACTTAGAGTGGTGCACATGTATGCACATGCGCACACACTCGTGCACTCACGTGCTCATTCCCTCACACAAAATCAATTGAGGGGAAAGCAGGATAGGAAAATAATCAAGTCAGAAACACAGCTTATATGGCAATGTGAGTATACAAATACATATTGGCTCAGGGAAGGAGTTCAATTGAAAGGTAGTGTATATGGTGCATATTTGTGAGGATTTAGTTCTGTGCTTCTCAAATGTGGTTATGGGCAGTGCCCTGAGACAGGTAAAACTGTAGGGTGAATCTTACTTGCCTTTCTAGAGCATCAGATTTTTCTATTTGGAGGAAAAAAAATCTTGTTAAAGAACTAATTAAGCAGTTATAAAAATGGAATATAAAATTTCTATATTTGTGAAGAAGAAAATCCAAGATGTCTGTTGTAGCTGTGTTCTCATGTTATTTCCACCCCTTAACTGATGTCTTTTGTTTATCCTCCCAGATTAGGAAAAACTGGGATACAAAAGTTTGAGAATCCTAAAACTTGGGGCAAGAGCATGCATCTGTAAGGTGTGCACGTATGTAGGTGTCACTCGCTTTTTTAGAAAGCTTAAAGTCATTGTACATTAATAAGAAGTGTTAAAACAACTACAAGAGAGTCTGCTATACCTTTCACTGAAGCTTTCTCAACAGTAACACTTGCATAAGGATAGTACAGGAAATTAGCATGGCTACAATCCACAAACCCTATTCTCCAAGACCTTGTCTGGGAAAAGAATCTTCTGAAGTTTGAGAATCCTTCTTTTGCCAAGAATTTGGCTTCTTGTTTTCTGTCTTTGGCCAGTTTTCCTTTTCTTCTGCTTCCTTTCTCTGTTTATTCCCTCTGGAATCTTCTTGTTCCAGACTACATTTCAAAGGTAAAGAGAGAGCAGATGTCTGTGTCATTGAGGAATTAAATCATAGAAAACCTGCGTAAAACTTACAGCTCAGAAAAAATACTGAGCATTCTAGTTCTTGTATATCTCAGGATTATTTTAATAGTGCTTAATAGTGTTTTCAGAAATGAAAAATTAGGGCCAGGGAGATAGCTCAGTAGAATAAGTGCTTGCCTGGTAAGTGCAGGGTCCTGAGTTCAATCCCTGGTACCACAAAAGAAAGAAAAGAAAAGAAAGAAAAAATCTAGATGGGGGTGATACATGCCTATAATCCTAGCATTTGACAGGTTGAGGCAGGAAGGATTACTGTGAGTTTGAGGCCAGCTTGAGCTATACAGTGGGACTCTGTCTCAAACCCTCACCCCCCACTCCAAAAAAAGAAAGAAAAGTTATTCTTTGGTGGTGCTCGGGATTGAACACACGGCCCTTGCACTGTGCTGCACCCCCAGCCTGTTAGACACAGGACCTCACTAAATTGTTACATTACTCAAGCTGGGCTTGAACTGTTTTTTGGTTTTTTTTTTTGTTACTGTTATTTATTGAGACAACATCTTGCTATGTAAATAGTTCAGGCTGCCCTAGAACTTGTGAGTAAAAGCTGAACTTATGATGCTCCTGCCTAAGCCTCCCAGTGCTGGGACTGCAAGCATGGAAAAATCTATTGAGTTTTGCATTCCATGTAATTTGAATGAGTTTCAACTCCTAATATTTTTTACCAGAAAGCATAACTTCCTAATATTCAAAATTGGTATGGCAATTTACCAGTCTTTATTGTTGATGAATTTTTTATTAGTGGTCAAAACCAGATTTTCTTGTGGCACACTTCATTATTGTAGGGACATAATCTCAAAAATATGGTCTCTCCATTTTAAAAAAAGGGGCTGGGGATATAATTCAGTGGTTGAATACTTGTCTACCTTGCATGACACCCTGGATTCTATCCTCAGTGTTCCCCAAAAAGGTTATTGCCCTTTTATTCCTTGCAATATCTACCATCATGAGGGCCTAAAACCCTCTGCTCATAACACTTGTTGCTGTACCTGTGGTAGCAAAATTCTCTCAAATATATAATCATTATATGTATAATCTTAAAACAAGTTAAATCCATAGAAAGTAGGCTGATGATTACTAGGAACAGGGAGGGGAGAAAATGCAGAAAAACAGACCAAAGCTATAAATCTGTAGTTAAGATGAAATAAATCTAATATGCCACACAAAGACTATAGTTAATATTGTATACTGAAAGTTGGCTAAGAATACATTTTAAGTTCATATAACATATATAAAGAAGGGCAACTAGAAGGTGATAGATACTGTAAATCTGTGGTAATCATGTTGTTATGTAAATATGTATCATAACATGAGGACTAGGGATGTAGCTCATTGGTAAAGTGTGTGCTCTAGCCTGCAGGAGGCCCTGGATTCCATCCCTAGCACCAAAGACAAAATGAATCAAAACAAAGCAAAACAAAAACATCATGTTGTCGATCTTAAACATCTATAATAAACATAATTTAAAAACATAAAAGATTTAGGCATTTTAGTCACTATCACCTTTTGTGACAATTGAACACCAAGATAGATAGCCAGGGTTGAATGTAATAGAACTTTTGTTTTTTGGAGTCGAAAATCTTTGGATCTGGTTTTCAGTTTCATTGTGCAACCCAGGGTCAGCCATTGTGGCAGGGGAGGACACTGTTAAACCCTTGTTAAAATTGATACAGAGTCTTATATATTTGACTACAAAGCCTATCAACGCACTCACATCAAAATGAATTTTGTTTCAGGATCTCTAGTTGGCTCTTCCTCCATGTCCATTATTAGAACCCACTGTAAATTTCCTTTGGGTACAGCAGAGCATCTCGTTGTTAGCACTAAGTGACCTGACAAGTGTTTCAGTAGTTGTTTTATTGGACAATCAGGAAGAAAAAACATTTGAGCAATTTAATGTTGATTGTTGTCTTTCTGACTTTCCTTTCTGGAAAAATCATTACTCAGAAGACCTACATGCCTCAGGGAGCCAGTGTAGGCTAAAATAATCTTCTCTGCTTTTTTCCCCTTGTTCCAGGGAGCCTTTGCCTACATAGTCAACTATTTCATGTACGTCCTCTGGGCTCTTCTGTTTGCCTTCCTTGCTGTATCTCTTGTTAAGGTCTTTGCACCTTATGCCTGTGGCTCTGGAATCCCAGAGGTAAGTTTGTTTAAATGGTTTCCAAATGTTCATAACATGAATCTTTTTTTGGTTAAAATACGTTAATGTATATTCTAGCATATACCCCAATGGTTTTTGTAGTACTGGGTCTTTGCACTGAGATACATTCCCAACCTTTTTTAAAATTTTGTTTTGACACATGATGTCTCTAAGTTGCCTAGTCTGGGCTTGAATTTGTTGCCCTTTTGCCTCAGGCTCTCAAGTCACTGAGATTCCAGGGGTAGACCACTATGCCTGGCAGTTTGGTGGATATTAAACAGAGTTAGATAGGTTGGATGTCATGGGCCTATACTGCCAGCTACTTGGGCAGCTGAGGCAGGAGCAACATTTGAGCTCACAAGTTCAAGACTAGTCTGAGCAACATAGTGAAACCCTTGGTCATAAAGACCAAAAACCCAAACAACACTTCAACAGGGTTTAAGTTCCTGAGGTCTTGAAATCTCTCACAGTGTCTTCCTTCAAGTCTCTTCTCGGCCTGGGTTACCTGATTTAGTCTAGGAAGGGATAATGGTTACTAAAATTATTTCTAACTACTTTTGGTTTGCTTATTTATTTATTTTGTGGTACTGGGAATTGAACTGAGGGCCTTGTGCTTGCCAAGCAAGCACTTATTCTACTGAGCTATCTCCCCAGCCCCTACTTTTGGTTTAGATTTCTAGACAGTGACTGAAAGCATTCAGACTTTAGGTTACCAGGATAACTTTGACCCCCGCTTTGTTTCCTAACTCAGGAATAGTCCCACATTCCTTTGGGAGTTAAGCAAAGCTATAGCTAATCTTTCAAGTTGTTTCAGGAACACTGACCTTGCCCTTTCAGAGCATGACTCCTAGGCCACCAATTTATAAACTAAGGAAGCACCTATGCTTGCCTTGCTCTCTCCATCTAAACACTGTCATACTTATGCTCTTTCCAGCTGTCACATGGCTCCACTCAGCCACCCTACCCAAAAAGGTACATGAAAGCTTAAAGAAAAGTTCTGACTTTCATTGGCTTCTGGATTCCCTCTCCAAATGTGTGTCACTTGTTCAAAGATTCAGTGTTGTAATGAAGTCCAGAATTTTACTCTTAACCTTGTTTACTTTTATAGTCTATATCTTTGTGTTTGACCCACAGATAAAAACTATCTTAAGCGGTTTCATTATTAGAGGCTATTTGGGTAAGTGGACCCTGGTTATCAAAACCATCACCTTGGTGCTGGCAGTGTCATCTGGCTTGAGCCTGGGTAAAGAGGGCCCCCTAGTGCACGTGGCTTGCTGTTGTGGGAACATCCTGTGCCACTGTTTCAACAAATACAGGAAGAATGAAGCCAAGCGCAGAGAGGTAATGGCAACTGGCCTTAGTAGTTTCCTTTTGCATGAAAGCATAAATGGTACAGTCTTAGGGGTGGGAATTGGGAACTCTATCACTGTGAATGCACAGGCCTTTTGACTTAGCATGTCCACTTGCAGGAATTTCTCTTAAAGCCATTCTAGCATGTGCGTGCATACTGTTGTCTGGGGATTAGTCAGTGCAGTGTTTGTTAACAGTGAACATCTGAAACTACCAAAATGCTCATCTGTAAGGCACTTACCAAGTAAGCAATATTCTGTGTATACTTTAGAATATTATGCAACAATTAAAAAGAATGAGATAGTTCTATAGATACTCACATGGAATGTGGTGACATTTGCACTGTTAATTTTTTTAAAAAGTGTATTCTCTATGCACTTAAAAATAATATGTCTTGAAAGAGATCTTAACCCCAAACTGCTAAAAACATCTACTTCTCAAAAGACAGAGAATAAGGTGAGGAGAAGTAAGGACTTTAACTTTGTATTGTATATAATTCTATACAACTATGTATTGATTCTATTAGAAAAGAAGTTACAAAACAGGATATTTTTTAAAAGCTCATTCTTACAGAAGAATAAATGTCAATTAAATGTATATTCCAGAGGCCAGTTTCTTCCTCTTTTTTTCTGCCTAATACTACACTTGGACTAATTTCTCACTATATTGGACCACTACTTCCTGTCTCAGTTAGCTAAATAAGTCCTATCACTGTATCTCTGTAGTTGTTCTCAAATTTATGTAGTTGTTGCTGTGTTATTTTGCATGGGAAGACCATGTTAAAAAAGATGTCCAACTTATTAGTTATTTTTGTTTTACTATTATTAGGATTTAAGGAAATAATGGATTTGCTTTATTTTTCTTGAAAACAAAGAAAGTATATATGGAATGGGTCAAGACCAAGTTCATTTCATTCAAAAGGATTTTTCACAAAATTTGAATCTCATGATTTCTTCTGAAAACATTTCTTTATGATTGGCCATAAAACTCAGGAGGAAACTGGAAACTTGTTGAGATTTCAGATATGGAATAAATTTCGACATTTAAGTGAGGAAGTTTCTGGCATAGTTAGAAAGGAGAGAAAAGCTAGAAGGAGTGAGATAGAGACATGTGAGTAGATTGTTTAGTTACTTGTACAGGTACACAAGCCTGTGTTAAATTGTGGAGGTTGTTAAATGAGAACAACTTACGGAAGTGTGAGAATTGAAAAGACATTTTAATAGGCAAGAGTGAAGTGTTGATTATTGCTGGTTTTGCGTGGATAGAGGGTACACCTTCCATGAAAGTGGCATTTTTGTTCAAATTGTTCTTTATATAGTGAGAGGAATTTGATTTGCCTGTTTCTCTGTGCAGATGCCATATATTTCTCTGACTTGACTCATGAATATTTGAATCTTACATTTATTCCCTATTGCTTACTCAGACTTTTATTTTTCTTATTGTTTGTACCATTGGTGGCAACGCTTTTGTGCTCAGGTGGTCTTGCCAAAGTGGGCAGATGGTTGAGAGCAAACATTTGACAAAAGCATAGACAGATTCCGTGCTATAGTATAAAATTAAAGCACACCCAGCAACCCAGTTCTTTCATCTCCCTTCTCATTCATTCTTAACATAGTAAACAACCTCCCCTTTCCCAATTTACGTGATGGCTGTCCTCATCCTTCTCATATGAAAGCCACGTTTTGAAGTCCCCACAGCTGTTATTAGAAATCTCACTCATCTCTCTCCTTCATTTTCCTGGGCCCCCTTATACTCCCAAAGAAACCTGTTTACTTATTTTGCCTACAACCATTTTATGCTTCAATGTTCTTAATTCTGTTTAACTTTCTCTTTAAAATAATTCCTCCCTCTCCAAATCATTTGTCTCTCCATAGCTACAGAATCCAAGGGGGGAAAAAACTTGAGCTCTTCAAGTAATTCTGGTTTGTTTTCTACCATCAGAGTTAGTTCTGTACATTTTACATGCACATACATGCCTGCATACTGAGGTGGCACCCTCTAAGAATCATTTATTTTCTTTCCATATTTATTCATCCCTCCTTCCCAGTCTCAGATTCTTTTTTCTTCTGACTGCTTTGCTTGTCATACCTAATCTTGTTTAGGTCTTCTCATCCTTTAAACCTCTGGCTGTTTCCCTTTTTTGTTTCCACAGGTTACCAGATATGTATTGGACACATAGTATAGAAAACTTTGAGTACAAATTGTATGAGTAGCGCAGTCCCTAAATGGCTGTGAACCAATCATTACTCTCAGTTTTGTGTCACTATAATCTTCTTTAACATCTTGTTTCACAACATTCATTTACAAGTTGCTCTTTAGATATATACTGTAAGTACTTTAGATGAGGAATAAATAGGCCTCCAAGCTCAAATTCAGTTTCTGAACTGGGAGTATTGTGATTGGGTGGGATATAATGTAGAATAAAGCACATGCCTAACCCACAAGGAGAGAGTTCTCTCTACCGTGGAGAGTGCCCTGTTTACCATTTAAGCATGTGAACCAGGTCTTGTGGTCATCATCTGAGATACAGTGTTTGTTCTCAGAATAACTAGAGATTGAACTTTATTTTGGGGGTTGTAGAACATGTAAAGATTTTTTTATGAAAGTATTTAGTAACCAGTAATGTTCTTATTACAAATGCAGTTGAATATGAGAAAGTGGTATTATTCTGTTACTAATTTTGCATTTTGGATTGTAGGTCTTGTCGGCTGCAGCAGCTGCTGGTGTATCTGTAGCCTTTGGGGCTCCTATTGGTGGAGTATTATTTAGCCTGGAAGAGGTAATGACTTCTCATGTTTAGTAGAGTATATGTGTGCTTTAATGTCAGGAATTTCAGTCAATATTTAGATAGATTGCAGTCCCTGAGAGCACTGCCCAACTCAGTGCTTTACCATGTGATCAGAAATTCCTGGCCAGTTTTTGTTCTCAACTCAAATGCCAGCATTACCAGTTTTCCACCTGAAGCAGTTTTTGGATATTGACTGAGTTTGCTTTTTTACCTTCTTTCTTATAGGTCAGCTACTATTTTCCCCTCAAAACTTTGTGGCGTTCATTCTTTGCTGCCCTAGTGGCAGCATTTACTCTACGTTCCATCAATCCATTTGGGAACAGTCGCCTAGTGCTATTTTATGTGGAGTTTCACACCCCATGGCATCTCTTCGAGCTTGTGCCATTCATTCTTCTGGGCATATTTGGTGGTCTATGGGGAGCTCTGTTTATCCGCACAAATATCGCATGGTGTCGGAAGCGGAAGACCACTCAATTGGGCAAGTATCCTGTCATAGAAGTACTCATTGTGACAGCCATCACTGCCATCTTGGCTTTCCCCAATGAATATACCCGGATGAGCACAAGTGAACTTATTTCTGAGCTGTTCAATGACTGTGGCCTTCTGGACTCTTCTAAGCTTTGTGATTATGAGAACCGTTTCAACACAAGCAAGAGTGGTGAACTGCCCGATAGACCTGCTGGCCCCGGAGTCTATAGTGCCATGTGGCAGCTGGCTTTGACACTCATACTGAAAATTGTCATTACAATATTCACCTTTGGCATGAAGGTGAGGAACTCTCTTGATACTCAGTGACTGTATTTGTGGCTGGGGTTTTGAAGAAAGAACAAAGGCAAGGTATACTATAATCCTAATAGCTCATGTGGTATGGTGCTTTCAGTTTCCCCAACATGATTTCCCCTAAAGCCTCTTAGCCCTGACTTGTTCTTATAACTTCATAGACAATTGCACCTCTGTCTCAAATTGTCCAAGCTTATTTTGAGATCAAATGCAAGCCTCAGTGTTGAGATTTGAAGAAGAAATGTTTCTTTCTTTTCTGTGCAAACCATTTTGCCTTTCATAAAGGATGGTGACCTGTTTATTCCAGTGGCTCTTGTATCAAAAACATATCTAACGGGCTGGTGAGATGGCTCAGTGGTCTAAAGCACATACTTAGAACAAGCTTAGCAAAGCATAGGGACTACGGTTCAATCCCCCAGCACCACATGCCAGCCAGCCCCGCCCCCTGGTGGGCTGAGCTGGCCACACACACACACACACACACACACACACACACATAAATAAATAAGTAAATAAATAAATTAAAAAAAAACATATCTAACAATAGTTTCAGTCCTTACAGGATGGCTTTAAAGTTTATTAATTAAACGTAATTATAATCTGAATCTCATGAAGTTGCTGGTATTTAGCCACTTTGATCTCAGTTTCATGTGATCCAAACGATATATACCTAAGAGTATGTTTTACAGTTGAAATCAGTGCTTAGTTGTTAACCAGTGGGAACAATTTCATATGATAGTACTGTAGTATTTAAACTATCAAAAGCAGATAACAATGTATTCTCTTCTGGGATGTAGAAGCTAAAATATAAAAGTTGATCTTATAGATGTAGAGTAGAATAATGATTCCTATAATAGTGGCTGGAAAGGTTAGTAGAGAGGAAGAGATAAAGATTGATTAATGTTTACAAAATATGGTTAGAAGGATTAAATTCTACTCTTCTGTAGCACAACAGGGTGGCTATAGTTAATAATTTATTGCATATTTCAAAATAAAGGGCAGGAGTTTGAAGGTTTCCAACACAAAGAAGTTCAAGGTGATATATATGCTAATTATCCTGACTTGATCACTATACATGGTGTACATGTATTGAAATATCAGACCACATCCCATAAATATGTCTAGTTGTTATGTGTCAATTAAACAGACATAGGGCTGGTATGTTTTACTTTTAGTACCTGTTGCCATTTTCATGTATCAGTAGCAACCAAAAAGGAAAAATTGTTAAAGTTTTTCCCTCCTCCATTCTAGGTTTTGTTTGTTTCTTTTCTTACCACACTTCTGACCTGTTATTTCCCTTATTGCCTAGGGAAACTGAGATTCAAATAGTAGTAAGAGAGCAACTTAGTGTAGACAATGTGTGCTCTCTGAGACCAGGTCATTTGTCCCTTTGGCCTAGGTAGAGGATGAGACTGAAAAACTTTGTGGTGCTTCTTGTGTTATGTTTCCCTTCACAGCTCATTGCTTCATATAAAGGACAGTCGTGCACCATTAGAACAGCAAACTCAAATGCCTTCCAGAATTAAACACAGTATTTCTACAGTTTAGATTATCCATACCATCATTTCCCTCTCTTAGTACAGAATATTAAAAATACTCTAGAATTCACAAGAGCAAAGAGATAAATGAAGCCTCCATTTTTTGGTTAAGCATGCGACTTACTTTTATTTATTTATTTATTTATTTATTTATTTATTTATTTAGCGGAACAGGGGATTGAACTCAGGCCCTTGCACTTGCCAGAGAAGCGCGTATTCCACTGAGCCATCTCCCTGGCCCCGTGACTTACTTTTAATGTACTTACTTACATTTAAATTTATTCATTTAATCTTTCTTTATACAGTGGCACAATAGACTGGAACCTCATATGCCATCCTTTTTGTGTGTGCAGTGCATTAGGATTCAATATACAAGTAGAGTTGTGAGCATTCCATTTAAATCCCAATTCACTAAATCTTGACCTTTGATCCAGGTCTTAATCTCTCTAAACTTTAGGTTCTTCATCATTGGGGAATAATAATGCCTATTTCCTAGGGTAGTTATAAAGAATCTGTAAAATCTTCAATGTAGAGCATCCAGCATTGAACACTGTAGTCAATAAAGGGTAGTTGCCAGTGATAGAGTTCAAAATTGGGAGAAATGTCTGCGTATTTAAGAAAATCCATCTATTTTCCTTTTTCTTTGGGAAAGGCCTAAGTTCTGCCTCCAGTTCTGTGTTGGTCTGGAGAGTTCAGGCTCTTGCTTGATGGACCCCGAATCAGGGTAAGCTTCTTTGCCAGTCGTCCTTGCCTGCACATCCTAGAGAGCCTTTATCCCCTGTAGTGTTACACAAATCTTTATAGCCACTTGCTAGCATAGTACATAGTTAAACTGTCAGTTGGCCTGTTTGCTTTGCAAAGGGTCAGTCTTCCAGCCCTTACCATTCACCAAGCAGTCACATTATTTCTCACTGATCATCTATGCTTTCTCTTTACAGATCCCTTCTGGCCTCTTTATACCTAGCATGGCTGTTGGTGCTATAGCAGGCCGACTTTTAGGAGTAGGAATGGAGCAACTGGCCTATAACCACCATGACTGGGCCATCTTCAATAGCTGGTGTAGTCAGGGAGCTGATTGTATCACTCCTGGACTTTACGCGATGGTTGGGGCTGCGGCCTGCTTAGGTGAGTAGTGTGTGCCTTGATGTCAGAGAGCTGCTCTCCACATAAAAGGAGAGTGATGTCAAGCGCCGTTGACTGCACAATTTTAAAAATCATCATCCATTTCCTGTTGAATCTGTTATAGTTAAGTCCTTTATAAAAGCCACTTCTACTTGCACAGTGGGGAGATAATTAGAAACTTAGATAAAGATAACAACAGAAAAACAAAAACTTAGACTCAGCCTAAGTTTGCACAGTAAGGAACTAGTTAATTCCACTCATATAATATATTATGCAGCCTTTAAATATGATGTTAATCCATGACTCATCCACATGGCTGCACTGATAAAGGTTCTACAATCTGAGGTACAGGATCTCAGGACAAATCCTGAGGGCATTTCACTGACCTTCTCAGACC